TGAATGAGTGTGTGTGAGTGAATGAGTGTGTGAGAGAGTGAGTGTGTGAGAGAATGTGTGAATGAATGTGTGTTTGAGTGAGTGAGTGGATGAGTGTGTGTGAGAGAGTGAGTGTGTGAGTGAATGAGTGTGTGAGAGAGTGAGTGTGTGAGAGAATGTGTGAATGAATGTGTGTTTGAGTGAGTGAGTGGATGAGTGTGTGTGTGAGAGAGTGAGTGTGTGAGTGAATGAGTGTGTGAGAGAGTGAGTGTGTGAGAGAATGTGTGAATGAATGTGTGTTTGAGTGTGTGAGTGAATGAGTGTGTGAGAGAGTGAGTGTGTGAGAGAATGTGTGAATGAATGTGTGTTTGAGTGAGTGAGTGAGTGGATGAGTGTGTGTGTGAGAGAGTGAGTGTGTGAGTGGATGAGTGTGTGTGTGAGTGAGTGTGTGAGTGTGAGAGAGTGAGTGTGTGTGTGAGAGTGAGTGTGTGTGTGAGAGAGTGAGTGAGTGTGTGAGAGAGTGAGTGTGTGTGTGAGAGAGTGTGTGTGTGAGTGGATGAGTGTGTGTGTGAGTGAGTGAGTGTGAATACGGGGCAGGAATTGTGTTCCCTGTTAAAACCCATTGTGTTCCTGTCCTGTCCCTCATCAGGTTATTTTGGGGGTTGGCTTTCTTCTCCCCCCCCACCCCACACCCCCCCAACCCCCATACCCCCCCCCCAACCCCCAACCACTTTTCAAAGCACTTGTAAGTTCATGACCCCAAAGTTTTGGGACCTCCTTTGTACCTCTTTGCTTTTACCCCCCCCCCCCCAACACCCACCCCCACCCCTCCCCCTGTTCAATGAGACTAATCCACCAGAGGTTTCATCAGGATCCATTTTGTGTTTGTTAGGAGCTTTCTTCATACACCCACAGAGGGACAGATTTTTAAGCGTCGGTCGCCCTGGAGGCGTATTAAATGTAGACAAATTGATTATAAAGGGTAATAATCGCTTCTGCTGGGTTTCGCCCACAAAATATACAGTTAATTCACTTTACAGTATATTCCGCGAAGCCCCCTGAGACGTCGCCACGACGTGATAGGGCGATATATCAAATGCAAGGATTGTTATTGTAATCAAAAATATAAATCCTCGCACCTGAGACCGACCACACCTTTCGTTGTAGAATGTAGTGACTATTTTGTAGGCCAGTGTGAGAGTCGATCTGCACACAGCAATGTCCCACAAGCAACCATTAAGTGAATCACCGATATATATATATATAATGCATTTGACCATGAAATACTTGTAAAGTTCTGTGGGATGTCAATGTTATAGGTGCTTTATTAACAGAAGGATTTTTCAGTGCGCCGTCAGAAAGTGCATGCCTGTTAGCATAGGATTTCAGAGCAACAGCAAGAAAATACAATGCGGTGTATTTCTTTTACGTGGCCTCACTTTTAAAAAAAATTATAATAATAATAATCCTCGCATTTGAGGTGCCTTATCACCTCGTTGAGACGTCGCAAAGCGCTTCACGGGATATAAATTGTAAAGTGTGTATTTTAGGAGAGGGAGGCACATGTATTGAATTTGAATAATAATTTATGAAATGGATAATAATTTGGGCAAATTAATAATAATAATTTGTATGATTCTAGTCCAGAGATAGAAAAATGGTCGGAGACCCTGAAGGAGCAAAACACTACGCATCTACAGCCAAAGGGTTGAATATTGCAGCAACCACCTTCTCCGTTGTCATCCTGATCACAGGCATCATTGTGATTCTCATTCAAGTCTCACAATGAAGGATCTGCCGGTGGATATTGATCAACAGTTGCCCTTTCTACTTGATATCAACAGATGCACCAGAGTTTCCTATTCTAAGAGTACAAAGTCTGTTTAAGAATAACTATAACAATGTCTGTTGCATAATTAACACAGGCAGATAGATTGTTTGCTTTCTAGGATGCTGCTTTTTTTTAGGTTTACTGGAATCGCTTTGTTCAGAAACTTTTGCTTCCTAAAGTACATTGAGGAAAGCTGTGTGGTGGTCACTTTGAGGTTAGCATCGTGGATCACTTAATCACTTAATAGCACTGTGTACTCTTGTTTCCTCAACAGAGAGCAGCATTAGTACAACAACTCCCAAGTGCACATTCTCTCCACTCGATTGGTAGTTTGTGTAACTGACCAGTTTCCAGCTAGTGCGATGACCAGATCTGCCCTGCTAAAAAAAAATCTCTGTGCCATTTCAGTCTCCTGCACTGGACCGAAAAAGCCTTAATTTTTCTCTTATAAACACAACGCTTTATGACCTGATGGTCCTTTTGCTGTGTTTCTTTATCGAAGCTGATCTAGACCAGTTGCCATCGATCACATTTCCAAGATTGCCTGTTTGTTTCGGATCACTTCACTCTCTAATGTCTGTCCATGTAGAATGATGGTGTTTTGTAGAGCACAATGGCTTGGAAGAGCTTTGTTCTGTGTTCTGAGGACCGCATTAAAAAGATATTTTGTTTAACAATTCTATTGGTATTCTTGGTTGACACCGGAAAACTCTCATCTTCCTACTTGGTAAACCCTCAACCAGTAATAATTGAAAACCAAACTGAGTTATTAAAAAACCTGAAGGGATATGGGCTGGGATGTCAAATCAATAAAAACATATGAATTGTGGAACTGGGTGGTGATTGCAGAAGTATAAAAAGCAGAAAGCAGAGGTCCTCACACACATCCACACCACACACACCAGGGAATATTCTTGATGCTGGAGAAATGATGAATGTTAATAAGATGAACTTCCCTCAAATTATGATTAAAAAGCGGAAGTATCCACCTTTTAGCTAGACATATTACATATTTAGCATAATAAATAATAATTTTGTACAGTGCTTTTTACATCAAGAGGATGTCAAAACTGCTTGATAGGATATATGGTAGAGTGGAGTGACTCCGTTTGTGGGCAAACGAGGCAGGCAATTTGCACAAAGCAATAGAGTGAGCGACCAACTCTTAAGACAATTACAGCCTGTGTTTATGTAGTGCCCTTCAGGAGAGTGGCTGTCCTTGGAACTGAACTGGCTCCAAGGTGACATGTTTGGCAATGTCAGAATCGAGCCAGCCCACTCTAGAGGGCTCGGTATTCCGGTTCCTGAGACAGGCGGGTGTACAGTATTCCGGAGCACTGCTGATGGAGTTCAGAGCCTCCCCACCTCAGGCGCTGACAGCTTCAGCATCCAAGGCTGCACTCTCCACCTCTCAAAGCCGGTCAGGAACCTCGGTGTTCTGTTCGACCCTGAGCTGTCCTTTTTTCCTCATATCCGCGCCACAACTGGCACCGCCTTCCATCACCTCCGAAACATCACCAGACTACGGCACTACCTCACCCCTCACGCTGCTGAAATGCTGATCCATGCGTTTATCACCTCAAGGCTGGACTACGGGAACTCTCTCCTCGTCGGCCTTCCCGGCACCTCCCTCCACAAGCTGCAGGTCATTCAGAACTCTGCAGCTCGTGTACTGTCCCGCACCAGGCTTCGGGACCACATCACTCCCACCCTCGCTCGCTTCCACTGGCTCCCCATCCCCCAGAGGATCGAATTCAAGATCCTCATCCTCACCTACAAGCCATTCCCGGCCTTGCTCCCTCCTACCTACTATCCCCCTACCTACCTGCCCTTACCCTCCGTTCCTCTGGCTCCGGTCTGCTCCACATCCCCCGCCCTAACCGCCCTACCATCGGTGGCCGGGCCTTCAGCCTCTCAGCCCCTCGGCTCTGGAACTCCATCCCCCAATGCCTTCGCTTTGCTTCCTCCCTTTCCTCCTTCAAGGCCGGTCTCAAGACCTTTCTCTTCAACCGTGCCTTCAGCTCCCCTTTCGACTCTCTACCCCTTCCTCGCTCCCTCCCTTCCCTCCCCTCACCCTGACCATTTCCCCCCTGCTCGGGTCCCGAACCAACTGCGCCTCGGGACGTCCTCCCGAAGTGAAAGGCGCTCTATAAATGCAATCTTGTTGTGGTTGTTGTTGTTGCTGATGACAGTGTAGCCAGCCTGGCTCATTGGTAGAACTTGGAAAGTCAAACCAGTCACTGGGCAGGGAATCCTCCCGCTCAGTTCCCATTAACCCTGCAAGACAAAGCCCAAACTGATAGGGTGGTCCTAACTGGACAAGGAGCGGGAAAGCTTGTCAAGTCAGTGCTCTCAATGGTAAGCTATACGGGTTTTGCTGGTTAAGACTCCAGCAGTTACCCCAACACACACTCTGGGGTCTCCAAGCTTTGGCTCTTAACAACCTGTGCCTAATACTCTCCGGAATTAGGTAAACAGGATGTGTCCCCCTTCCCCCTTCCCAGTGAGAGAGTGCTCATTCCATTCCAAAAACCTATTTAGGGATTTCCATGTGTAGGTGCCATGTATACATTGCTGTGCGCAATTGGCTGCCGCGTTCGCCCACAAATATACAGTCAATTCACTTTACAGTGTGTTCTGTGAAGCGCTTTGGGACGTCCTCCCGACGTGAAAGGCGCTATATCAAATGCAAGGATTATTATTATTATTATTATTATTATTATAGGTGGCCTGCATGGAAATCTCAGCTTGTTTGGAATACTGTTAAGCATGGTGATGGGTTTCCAGACAGGTCAGACACCCGACTGACCTAAAAGAACGTTTGCTAATCATTCTCATTACACTGCAGAGCGATAGAATCTGCTTCCAGTCGAACTTGAAAATGTCAAAAGACAAGATTCAGTTTCGATTCTGCTGAAACAAAATCCAGCATCACAGATCCTGGCTCTAGCTTCCTGGAATTCATGTGGTTTGGCACATCCATACTCACACCCATTTGCAGAATTGTTACAGTTTACCAGGAAGGCAACAATAAGGATTTCTAACCGGCACTAAACTGCAATAACTCAGTCCTCGTCAAATTCCACCGGCTCCCTTTCACAGAGCAGATTGATTTCAAGACCCTCACTCATGTATTTGAATCCCTTCAAACCCTAACAGTGCCCATCCCACCACCATTTCTCCAACCTGCTCTCTCCCTACACCACTACCCATTGCCTCCGCTCAACTGGCTCCGGCCTCCTCCTTGTGGAGTCCTGTAGCTCAATGGTTAGAGCACTCGCTTTGCAAGTGAGAGACCTGAGTTCAATTCCAGGCAGAGGGCGAAACCTTGGGCAAGTTTCCTTACTCCACACAGAGCCTAATAATAATCCCTCCAAAAAACAAAAACAATAATAAATTGGTCATTTTCAATCTACGACTGTTTGTGGGACATTGCTGTGCGCAATTGGCTGCCGCGTTCGCCCACAAATATACAGTCAGTTCACTTTGCAGTATATTCTGTGAATAGCTTTGGGACGTCCTCCCGACGTGAAAAGCGCTATATCAAATGCAAGGATTATTATTATTGTCCCCCGCACCCTCCACCCAGTCGGGGCGACCGTGCTTTCAGTCACTACACCCCGAAGCAGTGTATCTCTGTCCCTCAGTCCTTTTGCCTTGCTCCCACTCTTACCATTATTCAAGCCACGCTCGAAGTCCTTCCTCTTTGCCTGTGCCTACGGTCACTATCCCCCCCACCACCACCTCGGCACTGTTAAGCGCTCCGAGACACCGTCTGGCGGGAAGGGCACTATATAAATGTAAGTTGTTGTTGTATTCAGAGCAAGAGCTGTTCCAACTTAAAAATGCAGCCAATGAGTTAACCTTGAACAGAGTGGCCCCTGGCACCAGGCTGATTGTTAGGCACTGATGACAAACATAAACGTATTTTTATGGAGCCCGAAGGCACACCTCTTCCTTTCCAGCTCTTTCCAGTGTCTGCTTGCTACAAGCCGATTTGCAACTTGCCCTTACTTGCCAAAGTTCTGGAATATGTTGTTGCAATCAACTTGGCACACACTCCAGTCTGGATTTCGCCCCGTCCACAGCACAGAATCACACAAGACGTTTTCCCTCTCTGTGGCCAGGGGCCCCTCTGCCTCCTTATTCCTTCTCTTCAAAGCTATCAGGTCAGACACAAAGTCGGAAGTGGGACACGCTGGGGTTAACCCTCTCACAGCGTATTGGGTCAAGAGCCAGGCAGGAACAGCCAATGGGAGGTTTATTATTGCACACAATTGCAAGGTCAAACAGCACAAAGTGAACTCTGTTGAAAGGAGCCCTTCTCCGCATCTCACGAGGCAGGAATTTCGTGAGAAATTCATGAGATAAGCTTGGCCGTTGGACAGTTATAACTTCAAGGAATGTGGAATGCCCTACCAAGTAAAGTAGTAGAGGCAGAGGCCATTTCAAGAGGGAAGTGGACGGGTACACAAGTCCCTGAAAGATAGAGGCTTGAAGGGGGATGGGGATAGGATACTGCCGGGCAGTCAGGGATTGAATGGACAGCTAGCTCTGAGTGGCGAGGGCAGCATGGCCTGCTTCTATCCTGTAAATGTCTATGATTCTCACAAGTTTGACCCAGGGAGATGTCTGCATGCAACAAGAGGTTGATGTTATAGCACCTTTGGTTCTGAGGGCTGTTGTGGTCGAGGTGAGTTAGGTGAGTCAACAACACACAGCGGCCCCAAACGATCACATCAGATGATCGTGGTTTGGCAGTTGCCATAACAGCACAAATACAGGCTTCATGCTCAGGTCCAATGCTATCGGTGAGAATGTAGGAAATTGTTCAATGAAATTGTGGAATAAGGACAAGCTGTTGAAACTCACCCGTTGACTGATGAGATAATAATAATGATAATAATAATAATCCTTGCATTTGATACAGCGCCTCATCAGGTCATTGGGACATCACAAAGCACTTCACAGAATATATTGTAAAGTGGATTGACTGTATTTTGTGGGGGATACACGGCAGCCAATTATTTGCAGACTGCAGTGTCCCACAAACAGTGGTGGATTGAGCGACCAAAAATTAGCTAACTACTATGCTGCAGGACTCCAAAATAGGCACATCTGTCTGCTTGTAAAGCCATTAGATACAGCAAGGTGGCCAAAAAAACCTGGAGCTTTACGTACAATAAGGAAATGCAAGTGTTATTACGGTTTTGATATTGTGTGCAAGGGGTGGATTGCTTTATTTGGTCGTTCAGAGTTCAACGTCCATCTTAGTTAGAAAAGCAAAAGTAAAATCGAGTCAATTATTTCCTCCATCCACCGCGTCCCCACCCCACGCACACACACACGCACACACATCGCCTAACCTGCCTGAAGCTGAGCTGAGCCTCAGTACAGGGATCACAATGGTTCACCCAGCTGTGAGCATTGCTCACAACTCATGCATAAAGGTGCAGCCACCGCCAGTGGACTACTCGGTCACTATTGTTGAGGTGGAAGAGGATGGCTCTCCCGTGAAGGATCACTTTGTGTGGTCTATTGTCTCCTTCGTCCATTTTAATTTCTGCTGTCTTGGACTCTGGGCTTTGATCTTTTCAGTTAAGGTGAGTCCTGCTAATCCGAACAAGCCACTGACGGGAAACCAATTGAGGTGTTTGTGTCAAAAATGTTAGTGGGATTGAAAAAGTGAACTGAGATCAATAAGTTAGGATGTATCAAGTCAAAATGACTTGCATTTATATAGCTCCTCCTCAAGCAGGGTAGTGTCCCAGAACAAGAGGACGCAGATTTAGAGTTTATATGCATTTATATAGCGGCTTTCAAGTCGGGATGAGCCCATGGAACTGCAGCCCAAGGTGAGGAGGCCAGACCGGATGAGGGAGAGGTCTAGACAAGCACAGGACCCGAGCAAAGCAATGCAGACAGCGCCAGCGCTAAAACTCAGGTCTTAAAAAAACACTGTGGAGGAGGGAAGATGACCAAAGGTGCCATAGAAAAGGAAGGTCTTGAGATGGGCCTACGAAGGAGGCAAGGGGTGAGATGGAGGGGCTCCGGGATGGAGTTCCAGAGGAAACGAAGACCGTGAAAAATTCCAGCCTCTGACTTCTAAAATTTATCTCAAAGTCCTAATCACTATCACTTTTTCTCCCTCATCTCAGGCTAGAGATCAGAAATTTATGGGAAACATGAATAAAGCTCGAGAGTATGGATCCAAGGCCATGAACCTGAATGTAACGGCTTTCTCCCTGACTGTTAGTTTCTTGCTCTTGCTGGTGTACTTGATTACTGTTTGCCATGGGTGAGGGACACTCCCTGAAGAGTAAGGTCTCTCATCTTCACACTCCCAGGAACAAGATGGAGAAAGCACAACAGCAGAGCAAATCGCAAGCTAACCGGACCCCAGCACAGTTTTGATTATTTTTTTTAAAAAATCTGTTACAATTGGTGTGTTTATTGCAATGAAATGATCATTAACTGCTCCAATGTTGCTCTACCCAGCTGGGCATGGAAAATGCTGATCTGTAGTACACGTTAGATCCAAATAGTTTGCTTTTGGGGAGGAGGGTGGGGATGGGAACTCATATTCAATGCTATAACTGTCATGAAATACATTGCAGAATAAAATCAATGCTTGCTTTGAGAAACTTGGTTTAATGAAAGCGACAATTTAATGAAAGGTACCAACACAGATCATGATGGCATCTTCTCATCTTTCATACATTGTGCTGCACTGTAAGACGAAAGCCTCTCCTACCCAATTGGAAACACTAAATAATAATAATAATCCTCGCATTTGATATAGCGCCTTATCACGTCTTTGAGACGTCTCAAAGCGCTTCACAGAATACACTGTAAAGCGAAGTGACTGTATATATTTTGTTGCAGCATGATATCAGACAGGCTTGGGTGTGAGCCACTTGGCCACATTTATATGTTTTAATGTGAGTGAAGAGCTGACAATCTTGGCAGCTCTGCTTTAGAAGAGGATCTGGTACTCATATGGTGGTTAGTGCAACAATCTTCCTGTACGGAACTCTACAACTACCATTTGTTTTCCATTCTCTTTGCCAACGCTCCCCTCTCCTCCGATATAGGCATTCAACTCCTTTTCGCGTCTATCGAACACCATTCTGCACCTTACCCACATGCGAGTCCAGCCCAGGTTATTTTTTCTCAGCCAGATAAATAATTCATTCTTAAAGTCCACCTAACACTCAACCCTTCACAGAAACTATGAAACGTCCAAGGTTTAAAAAAAACACAGGTTTCAGGTGCAGCAGTAATAGTAAAATAATAAAAACCGTGCATTTGATAGATCACATCATCATGTGTTTGCCTCGAGATGTCTCAAAGAGTGCCAGAGCAGTTACTATTAAGTGTGGTGACTGTTTGTAGGTAGGACCGGGGTGGGAGGGGATGCCGGGGGTGAAAAGAGAGAGATAAAGCACTTGTATGTTCAGAGGTGCTGTCTTCTGTTAAATCAAAGTCTCGCCAGTCTGTTCTCAAAGTGCATGTCAAAAGATCGTGTGCCACTATTCACAAGAGAAGGGAGTGCAAGGTGAAGGCTTTTTAGAATTCTCTCCCCAATCCCTCCACCTCATCCCCATCTTCCCCTCTTAGATCAAGACCTTCCTCTTCGACTGTGTTCATGGTAACCTCCTCCTCCTCCTCCCCCGAAGACTCGGCCTCTTTTAGCTCTTTTTAGGACTTTTAGCTCCTATTGCAGACTGACACTCACAGTCAGTAACTACACTGTCAGAGGTGCCGTCCTTCGCATGGGGCCCCCCACACCAAGCTTCTGCCTCTGCCAGTTCAGTGTCAAAGATCCCATTTTAATACCGAAGAGAACTTCTCCCACAGATAACATAGGACATTTACCTCATGGCTGTGTGTGGCACTTACCTGTGTGCAAATTAATTACCGCATTTGACTTATAAACAACTACAGTCACGATAGTTAACAGTAAGTTCCTTATAATGTTTCCAACTGCTGTGTGAAGCACTTGGAAACATTATAAGGAACTAACACAAATATTATTGTTTCAAAGGTTACCTAACCCATGCTTTAACATATGGTGAGTGCAGTTTATTTATTAACTCAGTGGCTGAGGTCCAATAATTAGTCTTACTAGTTTACAATACAGAAAATAGAGTCATCTCACAGTGAAAAAAAATAAAAAGCGAGAAGCCCTATTATGTATCTGGCTGCAGGGTCTCTTAATGTTTGCAGATATTTAACCCAGTTTCCCTCTGATCAGTTTGAGGCTTGATATTACAATAGTAATTCTTGCATTTGATACAGCACCTTACCATATCTTCAAGACGTCTAAAGCGCTTCACAGAATATACTGTAAACTGACCGTAGATTGACCGTAAAAGCAATCCGCCAATCGACTAACAAACTGGTTCCTACTTACTGTTGAGGTAAACAGAGGCTTGTGGAATAAGCAAACTTGCATACCATTTCGCCCTGCCCGGGAATGGAGCCCATAACCTTTTGTTTGTAAGGCGAGTGCTCTAACCAATCTGCTACAGGAGTCCTCATTAGAAAAACAGGCATCCAAAGTTTTGTAATATTGCAGCAGTAAAGCAATAGCAAATGTTAGCATGGCTACAATGTCTGCAGAGAAGACAATATATAGCTTGGGTGTACTGCCTGGAGGGCATTACAAAGCTCCACAACACTAAAGCCTGTTAGATGTTAGACCGACGACGTACATCAATATTGTCAGTTTTAATTATATTAATAATAATAATCCTTGCATTTGATATAGCGCTTTTCACGTCGGGAGGACGTCCCAAAGCGCTTCACAGAATATACTGCAAAGTGAATTGACTGTATATTTGTGGGCGAACGCGGCAGCCAATTGCACACCACAATGTCCCACAAACAGTCGTAGATTGAAAATGACCAATTTATTATTGTTCTTGTTTTTTTGGAGGGATTATTATTAGGCTCTGTGTGGAGTAAGGAAACTTGCCCAAGGTTTCGCCCTCTGCCTGGAATTGAACTCCGGTCTCTCGCTTCCAAAGTGAGTGCTCTAACCACTGAGCTACAGGACTCCACAAATATTCTGTGAAGCACTTTGAGATGTCTAGAAGACGTGAAAAGCGCTATATCAAATGCGAGGATTATTATTATTATTAATCCAATGTAAAAAATGGAAGTTTAACCCATGCCAAAATTGAGACCAAGTTAAGACAGGAAACAGTGCACCACAATTACAATTACTCTATGCAAGGCAATTTTTGGCCAGATTAAAACAAACTGGCTCCATTGCCACGCTGGCGATCCAATAAAGAGCATTATAACTGAGTCACAGAAAGGTCATTCGCAAAATGTCACCTCACAAGAGCCAAGTAATAGAGCTTGGAATTTTCCAATACTTTAGGGAAACTCCAGCATTTCCAGCACCGCACCACAACCACAACATTGGGAAATTGTCATGATGTGTAACTCGGCTTCAGGATATTAGTATAGTGGTGGGAGTGAGCTGGGGAAACTACCGCCCACACAGCCTACATTCCTGTTCAATACTTGCTCCATCCCATCATTTGGATGGCAAGTTAGCCTCTGGTGAGCGTGAGAAGAACATGATAACAATCCCTGTATTTAACACACTGCCTATTAATAACATAGCCTGGAGTGCTTCAAACATAACCATTCAGGTTACTTTAAACAATAGTAATTGAGCTCTTTCCCTCTCCACATTCACAACCCACTTAAAGACCCATCTCTTCGACCATGCTTTCCATCACCTTTTCCCTCCCATTCTCAGCTCCCCGTTACCCCACTCCCAACCCAGTTTGCATTTGAAGAGGTCTCCTGTACCATGTGAAAGGCGTATCGAGATGTAAATGTAGTGGTGAGAGCACCTGCATCACAAGCGAGAGGTCCTGGGTTCGATTCCCGGGCAGGGCGTAACGTTGGGCAAGTTTCCTTACTCCACACACCTCTGTTTACTCGAGCAGTAAGTACGAACCCGGTTGTTAGTCGATTGGTAGATCGCTTTTTCAGGGGTAATAATTCCTTTTTTAAAAAAATGTGTTCACTCTCCCCCTCCCACCCACCATGTGAAAGGCGCTATCTAAATGTAAATTATTTTACATACAAATAAATATAAACACCTGATTCTGAGTAGTGGAGCGCTCCCTTCTGGACGTTAGTGGTATTTACATAGAATTACAGTATATGGAACACTACAACACAGAAGCAGACCACTGGGCCTGACTAGCCTGTGTTGGTGTTTATCAAGTTCTTTTTTTTGCTCTCGATCGTCTCTTGTCCAGAGCTTTAACCTGTCCAGTCTTTCTTGGTCACTGTATCCACTAATCCCTGGTAACTGTGCTGTACTCTCTCCAAAACTGCAATATCCTTCCTGTGGTATGACAACCTGAACCACACGGGGCTCCAAATGTGGTCTAATTCTGATTTTATAGGAATTTAACAATACTTCCCTACTTTTGTACTTTATCCCTCTGCACATAAAGCCAACAATTCTTATGAAGTCTTCATGGACTTGTCCACCTATGCTGCTATATTTAGACTGAATCCCCAGATCCCTTTGATCCTTAAAAGCCTCTGACGTTCTTACCATCCAGGGTACAGTCGGCTTCCATATTCGTCTCACCAAAAATGAACCCCTTCAAATTTCGCTGACGTTAAACTTCACCTGCCACCTATCCGCCCATTCCGCAAGCTTGTTAGTCTCCCTGCATCCTTTTGGCAATTCTCTTCATTATTTATCGAACTTTTCATCATTCTTGTAGCGATGAGATCAACCCTGATCAAAGGGCCTTCTTCATCTGATCTGAATGGGAGCTTTCAGCTGATAGTTCAGGCTGATGTCACAATGCAGCGCTGGGGGAAGAACTGCATTGTCAGAGTTACAGTCCTTTGGATGAGATGTTAACCCTATGTCCTGTTCAGGTGGACACTGAAGATCCCATGGTGCTATTCAAAAAGGGAGGGGAGATTCTCTTGGCCCTCCGGCCAACAATCCACCGAAGCCGTGGCTGCTTCTGGGACATTGCGGGTGAAATGTCGCCGTACAAAATACGCAGCCACTACACTTCCCAGAAAGTCTCTGAAACACTTTGAGGCATTTCAACGTGAGATAAGAACTATATCAAATGCAAGAATTATTATCGTTATCATGTCTTGTGAAAACCGTCCAATTATCAGGATTTAGTTCGCAAGCTGAAGGACGATTGAGACAATTTGCCAAATGTTTGTTTTTAATCATCTTTCCCTGGACCCAATGTGGTCCTTGGATTGTTACATCAGAGACAACTGTATATGATGGGGTTTCACATCAGGTGATTTCCGAGGAGGTAGAGATTCCCTCCACTAACTGCAAATAGCTTAGGCTGACCTGTGAGCTATCTGCTCCAGGAGATGGTGCTAGAGATCAGACAAGCTTCTGCTTTGCTCATTAAGAATCCCACAAAAACGGTATCAAAAGGATGTAGAAAAAAGAGATTTGAAAGATAACGATTTGCGCTTTACACAGTGTCTTTCATATAGAACGTCTCACGCGTGGGGTAGCATCTTGGAGCAACAACAACAACAAATTACATTTGTATAGTGCCTTTCACACCGGGAGAATGTCCCAGTCCCAGAGGGGCTACCAAAAGAAATAAAT